CTCTCTCTTTCTCTCTCTGTCTCTCTCTCTCTCTCCCTCTCTCTTTCTCTCCCTTTCTCCCCGCGTGCCAATATCATTTCCTGCGTCCTCTTACCCCACTCTCACTTTTTAATAAAACCTATCCTTACCAAAACGGTCGTTTAGAGCTACTATTTTAGACATAACAAAGTGGCCTTTATTAACGCCGTTTACGCCCTCTGCACTCATTAGGCAGAGTGAAGAGTTTGTAAAAGAGCCAGTTATTGACCACTTCAACTCTACCTTGCTGCCTGAGTCCTCTCACGGGCCGCTTTAGTCGACTGCTTGGCTCAAGAACCACGCAGTCAACATTTTAGAGAAAAAACCCCTAAAAAACAAGCCCCTTTTCTGACCTATGATACAGCAGATTCTTCTTCTTTAAACTACATTATCTTGTTTAAGCGGGTGGTTGGAGGCTGTCACTGGTGGGTCTTACGTTTGTATTTTACCTCTTTTTTGTGTGTGTCTGTCTTGCTCTTTCCCAGCACTAAATTATGACGTCATTGCGGCGATGTATTTTGGCGTTGTTCCCCTTTGTTCAAAAAGCAAACCGCGACAACTTTTGATGAACGTAGCTGAACTGAAAGCATGTTTGTTTTATTACTGTAGAAGAGACCTAAATGATATTCGCGTTTTCAATTCTATTAAAGAATATTTTAATTAAAGAAACAGACCGTGTAGCTTAAAAACGGTATTTCGTGGCTTACTGGCTTTTTGAGATTGACGGTCGAAATCAGCGGTTCCGGCTTTCATCTGTTCGGCGCCACCCCACCGGCCTGAGGACTTCACAGATCCACTGTTTATGGCAACAAGGCATCGGCTGGGGAGGAGGGTCGTTCTTCTAACTGTTATTGTCGACTCTGATGGTTTTGCCAGAACTACTTGCTGAAATTGGTGGAATGCTAAGGTGGGGATGAGGGGAGACAGTCAAGAGCCGACCTCAGTTGTTGCTTTGTAGTTATTTTTTTAGAATGATCTGTCCGTCTGTGCCCGACTATTTACCCCTCTCGCCCTATATATTTCTCTCATTCTCACGTTTTCTCCCTCTCTCTTTCTTCCTCCCCCC